TCGCCAGACTCGCCAGAGGCTATGCAAGCAGTCAGGCGACCAATGACGTCCACAAAGTTCTCCGGGACACTGTGCACACAGACATTGAGCGCTGGCTTGACGATGCTATTGACAAAAGATATCAATGCCTGGTTTGCACCGGTCAGTGGAGTGCTGAGCCAGCTGGCTCGCACATATTGCTGGAGTTTGTTTGTTTTCAGTGCCAGCAAGTTCTCCATGTAAGGTGGATCCCGTAAGTAGATGGGATTGGCTTTGATCTTGGCAAGAAGCTCCTCAACGGCCTCCGCCCCCCTGAAAGATGCGGCATGAGAGAAGGTTGGCTAAGTAGTACTTGATGCTGAACTTGACGACATGCCTTGCAATAGAGTGTGCTGCCCCAAGCTTCAAGCACTCTTTGCAAACAACGTCTTCCGGTGATTGAGATTCAAATTGCTCCTCGCAAGAAGATGCACGTGCACGCCATGTTCCCTTTGAGGCATCAAATGAATAGCTGTGTTTGGCCAGCTCCTTCAAGTTTGACATCTGTACCCACAGCTTGAACTCCTCTCGGTAAGTGTACAAGTGGCCAGCACAGTCTTTGTCGTCAACGTCAATTCCTGGGCACTTCACACGTAAACCTTGGTCCAAAGCATCCCTCCCCTCATGTATGGCCAGATTTTTCTGGTGTGAAGATGAGGAAAAGTGCTGGCCCAAGAAGTGCTTGACTGACTTGATTTTCATCACATGCACTTCCAGCACCTTTCCATTGGGTTGCTTTCTTGACGTGCACAGCTTGCAGCGAACGGGCGCTTTCCTTCCATAGTCACCTGGCTGCAGCACTTCCAAAAAGTCAAACTTCATGAGCCAATCCTCGGGAGTCTCTTCCTCTGCCTCTGATTGATCCGCCTGATCTCTGGTTGCCTCAGGCTGAGTACCCGGAGTATCGACAGGGATAAACGGGTCCTCTTCTCCATTCAGGGCTTTGTCAAGATGAATGTCCAAATCAGATGTGCAGAATCCCGATCTGGTCAGCAAATGATTGCAAGCCGGACAATCGTTCTTTGCCTTCTTGCCATTGAGCAATCTGTTCTGGAAGTCCACAAAGCTCCCGTTGGAGCAACCAGATGCTTTCTTCACTTCTGCAAGCCTTAGGAGTCTGTGAGAATTCAGCCCTCTACAAAATGACTGGATCGTTCTTTCGGCCACTACAAAATGAAGCAAAAAAATGTTGCTTCTAATTCTGAGGTCAAGCCACCGAGCATGAGCCTTCTGGAAAGCAGGCCAGGTAATTCCAACTGCCCCCAAATAGGATCGTAATGCTTTTTGCTTCACAATACTCTCTGATGCAACTAGCTTTCTGCACTTACGTTCATGCCGCTTTCTCCGAATGCGAGGACATTGCAAATCGATCTCATGATCTTCACCAAGCTCAAACTCATCATCATCTTCCTGCTCATCTTCAGCTGCTTTCGGTTGATCCTTGCTCTTTCTCTTGCTCTTGTCCTCTGGAAATGCAACCTTCCTCCCGGGTTTAGCTAGGAGTGAGCTGGCTTGCTCCTGCTTCTTGCCAAAGTTAGCTGGGCGGCATTGAGACTTGGCAGCTCTTGAATTCTTCTCCTTATGCTTCTCTGCCGAGCCTTTTTCTTTCATCTCAGGCTTCTTCCTCGGAGGCGTGACTAGCTTTTCACCATCATGTTTTTTTTGTGCCAATCGTGTTGCCTTTTCTTGCGGCAGCCTTGGCCACTGAGCTCTTGCCTTTCGTAGACTTGGGAGTCTTGACAGCATTCTTCACCGGAGAGTTCTTCTGGGGATTTGTCTTCAACTTGCTCTTCTTGTCCGGAGTCTTTTTCTGCTGGGTCCCTTTCTGCTGGCTCTCTATCTTCTCAGTCATCTTCTCAGTTCTTACTTCTTTGGAAGGTTGGGAAGCTTCGTCAACTACTATATCCAGCGCAAAGAAGAAGAAAAGCTCTTGCCAACTGTCGTGCTGTGCCAGCCCCAACCACTGATCATTCAATTCCTGAGTGGATGTGTTTGCTAAAGGGAACCCATTTCAAATAGATCCAAATAGAATCACATATTGAAATAGATTCAACATATTCAAATAGGGAATCCTCTCTACAAAATGAAGTTATCAATCTACAAAATGAGTCATAGCGTAGATATTACTCTACAAAATGAAAATATATGAAAATATATAAAAGTCTTAAGGCATGATATCGAGGAAAAGCTTCTTTCCGGTAGTCTTGGATTTTCGCACTGCTTGGCACAGCAGGGACAAAATCTTGGCGACAATCCAAACCACTTTCCAGAGCAAACACTGTGTGTAAAGCACAATTTCCGTCACCTGGAACATTCTGTGCAAAGGCATCAGCTCTTGAAAAAAGGGTCATTGCAGCATCTTCTGCTCTCAACAAATCGGCTTGCTGCTCCAACTCAGCAGAGTAACATTCTGCCTCATCTGCATCCATAGATGACGATCTGTTCAATCTTCGTGCTCGTTCACACTCTGCAGCATGTGCTGCTTCGCGTGCCATCAATCTTTTCAATGAGCACCTTTGCGCAACTGACCAATTCTTCTCCCCCAACTGCTTCCGGTGCCATGCAGGAAGGAAGTGGTTGATCTGGTCAATGCTGCTAGGATGAAAACTTGCATTAGTTCCAACAAAGAGCCAACAATTTTGATCTGCAGGATCTGGATGCCTGGCCATGTCTGTTATCTCTAAGTCCTGAATGTTCTCCAAGAGCTGGCACATACTTTGGATCGTGGCCTTCTCCCCATCCTCGTGCAAGAGGAGAAGGAGCTCCTTTTGCCGAGCAGCCCCAAGCAGCAGCATATCCAAAATACTGAGGTAGAACCCATCACGAAGAACAAGGTCAGCATATTCAACCTTGATTAGATGGCCCAATTGGATCCAAGTATCAAGAAAGTTGATGCGACAAGTTGTTCTTTTCGAATCCTCTTACTGTTTCAGCTACTCAGATCTGCTACGGTCAGTCCAGTAGTAAGTCCATCTAAATTACGTGTAAATGCAGATTACGTGTAAATGCAGAGAGCCACCATCTTCGCCTCCATCTTGCGAGACCACTGTTTATACTCTTTTGACTCTTTTGATCCTGCCAGCACCAGGGCCTATAGAGCCTATAGATGTCTATAGAGCGTTACAAAAAGAATCATAAAGGATCAGAAAGATTCAAAAAGGATTAAGCAGGAATCAATACGAATCAAACTGATTCAATATGAAATATGAAATGTCCAGTCTACAAAATGATCTGTTGCTTCTACAAAATGATTAGTAGAACATTCTAGAAGTCAAAAGCAGACTGAGTCGACTGGAAATCACAACTTATTGCCCGAGAAAAAGCTTTGATCGTTGAACGGAGATGAACGGAATCATTCCGAAACGGAACCGGAAGAGACGAGGGCAGTGCATGTGGATATGGCACCATCTGAAGCTCTTCTCAAATGCGAAAAGACATCACCCCCGAACCAACTCCAAAAAGAAACGCTCGAGTCTCGAGCTTCACCATGCTTTGTCATGTCTTTTCATCCTTTCCCCACTGCATTGCAGCATGCTTCAGCATGCGTGTCTCATCTGAGCTATCTAATCTGGATGAATTACTACTACTTGCTGTAATCCTGGCATATTAATGCATATTCTGGCTCATTGGTAGCCGTCTCGAACATCAGAGCTTCATTTCGGTAAGCTTCCAGCAGTCTAAAGTCCTTTCACTTTAAGGCAATGCTTACAAGGCGTCAGGAATCTCACTGAGCGCGAGCGTGCAACATGTGCACAGGTGGCCACATGGACGCAACTGCCGCTTCCTGTCACGACCAATCTGCCGGGCATTGAATCGCCAGCTTCATTCTTCAATAGGGCGGGCTGCACTCCAATCTCTGCTGCAGAAGAAACTGAACACGGTTCCTTCTTCGGGGCAGTTGCCCGTGGATGGCAGCAGCATGCGAAAAGAAGTATGTGCAGCAAGCTAGTTGCACCAACAAGGAGCAAAGCAGCTGTCCACAAAGCTTCCATTGCAACACACACGGCAGTCAAGGTGACGTAAGCAGTGAGTGAGACTGGGCTGGAATGCACTTGTGCCAAGGTAGCTTCTGTTTGAATTGTTCAGCTCGCTCTGTGAGGTGGCAAAGGTCAATGATTGCTGAATCATATTGCTGAGATTTACTGAGGCCATACAACGCAAATGAACATGTAGCCAAATGCAGCCACCCAGTCCTAATACGTTCTTCTGCGCCTTTTTCTCTCCATTGACCGTTGGCTGCATACGTCCTTTCGGGCAAAAAAAAAGATTGGTTTGTGAGTGGTTTGTGTAAGCTTGTGCGCCAATAAAACTACAGGGTAATACACGGCAGAGAATGTCACACACGACCTCTACAAAATGACTGCTTCACCAAGTACACATCATTTTGTAAAGACCAAAGTGGCCGCTTGGCCAACACCCCCATCAGGATCCCATCAGCAGGAATCTGCTGCGCGCCTTTCACTTCAGCGGTCTGCTCCATCTCTTGCTTGATCTTTACCTGCTGGTCCTTCTCGCGTCCTGTGAAGCAAAGCAAAAAGGGAATAGAAAAGAATACATTGATCAAATATCATCAAATTAGATCAAGTCGCCGCTTGATGCATATATATATATATA